ATCTTGCAATTACAAACCATCGAGCAGATAAGCAAACAACAAAAGAAATAAAAATGAAACTCCTCGTACCACATAATAGTAATTCACAAAATGAACTTGAATATTTGTATAGTGGTTAAAATTCAATATGTGATGACGTGAAGCTTCGTCAACTTATTGAAAGAGCCAGTTTATATGCAAGAAAAAATATAGGTCCCTAGACAATTGTGCATGAATTGGTAACTGATATATTAAAACAAAAAGGTGCTATATTATACTACCAGCAACCTAATATAAATGTACCTGAAAACAATTCTGATCATTATTATCAACTTACCTTGAGCGATGATTTATGGCTTCAGCAAGCACATGACTTTGGCTCATTTTGCTTTGGCATTGATGGAAAGTACAACTTAAACAGTGATGGGGCACCAATTTTATCTTTAGTAATTAAAGATAATGCAGGTTACAGAACTTCAATTGCATTTGGACTATCAAATAAAGAAAATAACTATATGATTAGACTTGCCGTAGAAGCTGTTCAGTGCAATATTCCGTGTAATGAAATTGATTGCATGCATGAATATAAATATATGGAGTTACCAAATAGTAAAGGATTTATGAGAGCCCAGCGGTATACACAATGATGGCAGCTATTTGCGATGATTGATAAGTATCGACTGACAAAATGGTGTCTTCAGCCTATTCTTTGTGATGTAATTTTATGTTGGTTTCACATAATGCAAACATTTAGTGAACACTTTAAAAACTTAAGAATTGATGACCATTACCATTACCCAATTGCTATAGCTTTCAAAATAGTAGGCCAAAGCTGAAGTGTAGATGAAGCCTTAAAACTTGGAGAGGCTTATCAGCTTTTTATTAAATCTCTACTACTTACAGAAGTCACAAAAGAGTTTTTGTATAATGATTTATTTTCTAATTGGTTGTCTGATGAATGGATCAATTGCTTTATTGATGATGGTCAAATGCTATCTGCAAATGATTTACCAAATGCTAAACCTATGACTACAAACAATCTTACAGAGCGAATGAATAAGTCAGTTGAAGGTAAGTGTGTAGATACTCAACCAATTAACCATTTTATTAAAAGGTTATATAGTATTACTTTAACATGGGACAATATTATTAAAGAAACCTCTTCACAGTTGGTATTTGAAGCAGGTCAGGTGATATATTGGAATTCGCGAATTATAAAGTATCAGATATTACCATTTAAGCAACCAATTGATATGAAGCAATGATTGAACCAAGGATGTCTTTATGTTATACTTTACTTAGTAAAACCTGTGGTTGAAGGATCAGATACATACTTTTATGTAAAAAAGGAAAATAGCGAATTTAGATCTTTATATACTATGCGAAGAATTAGTATTGATGACAAATCAAGCAAATTACTTCAGCTAATGTTAAATGAACTTGCATCTAAATATCCTGTTGCGTAGCAAAAAGATTACTATCTTATCAATATTTTTGTAGAAGAATGTACATGCTTAGATTTTATCTGGAATGGCTTTTTTCGAGACGTATATAAGTATATCTATGCAGCACAGTTATTTAACAAGGTTGAAGATAATGAAATTACACTGGATATTATTAAGAATGATCTTGTGCAATACTTTTGCAATAAAGA